CCTATGTGCAAGCACTTTGGTGACAGTGGGAAAGAAAAACTCCCTTTTGACAGGAAGAAACCTCCGGCAGAACCAGGCTCAGGGAGGGGCGGGGCCATCTGCTGCGACCGGTTGGGGAGAGAGAAGGAAGACAGGATAAAAGACATGCTGTGGAAGAACGACAGAGATTAATATCAAGTATTATTCAGTGCAGAAAGGTCTGTTAACACATAGTGAGTGAGAAAGGTGATGGAAGAAGAAATACTCAGTGCATCATGGGAATCCCCCAGCACCCTACGCCTATTGCAGCATAACTAAGGGAGGATTCAGGGTCACCTGGTCCAGCACTAACTATATGCTTTATCAAAAAGGAAAGTTTGAAGCCTAATCTTAAAAGTAGAAATAGTGTCTGTCTCCAAAATCAACAGTTTTTCCATGAATTTTTACAAATTGATACAGGATTGTCTTTTTTTTTTTTTTAAATCTTGGCCTTCAGGAAGAAAGAAATGTCACTGGAAGTACATCCTGAGTGCATTTCTGTGTGTGACTGTTATCCTGGCAGTGCTCGGACTCTTGCTGTGGTACTTCCGTGAGTTGATCTGGAGACTGTGCAGCTGCATAAAATTATTTTTATAATTTAAGTATTGTAATGTGGCATGATTCTGCATGCTCTTGTATATATATGAGATTCACAGTAGTAAATGCATGTGCTCACAGTATACTACCAGTGTCTACTGGGGAAGTCGTGTGGAAAAGGTGGGATGTGTCTGAGCCATACCCGGTGGTGTGATGGAACCATTGACTGTCCAGATGGAGAGGATGAATCTCAGTGCTGTAAGGCATTCAAATCAGTGTCTCAGTCTTCCACACAGTTATTTAGTGTACGAATCTATTTTTTAATAGACTTGATGTTTCACAGTTCGCCTCCAAGGGGCCAACTCCATGCTGGAGAGTTATTCATCAAGCAGCCAGACCTGGATGCCCGTGTGTGCTGACAACTGGGATGATAACTATGGACGAACTGTGTGCAGACAGATTGGTTACAGCAGGTGCTCATTGTCCTTTCCCACTGACACACTTTTGCAATGTGTGGTGTAAAAAGCTCACTCATATTACACGACTCATGATTTGCATTGCTACTGGACCTTGAATAATTTCCAAACTAAAGCATTTTTTAAAAATTACATACAAAAATATTTTATTGGATTAGATATAATAGATATTAGTTTGATATAATAATGTGTGTGTCACATTACTGTAACTCCTCAGCCCTTTGACAAAAATGATAAGAATCATCTTGTAATTTTACACCTGGTGGCCTGTATGATACGTGGGTGATAAAGTGTTTGTTTTTTTAGCTGCACAGACCTACTGCTTACCTGTGGAAACAATGGATGTACTTAGTTTTTCCACCCACTGAGACAACAACTAATATTCTTCTGAAATGACAAATGTGCAGTATTGATTAGTACATATTTTTCAAAGTTCTAACTCAGAGGGAATGTCCTTGCGTGACGTGCATGTATGTGTGAGTACAGTCTGCTGGTCTCATCTCCCTGTCACACATGCCTCTTTGTCCCACAGAGATGATTATTTTGCCTACAGCCAAACCAGTGCAGGTTCTTTGGCCTCCAATGGATATATGAGGCTGGAGTCCGGAAGTAATAGTGGCTCACTAATACAGTCACAGCTCACTCACAGGTATACACAACCACATATCACTGAGTGCTCACTTCATACACACCACAGCATTTATAAAATGTGCCATTTTTTTTTCATCCTTTCACTTTCAGCTTGCTGTGCTTCTCCAAAGCTGTCACACTTCAGTGTATTGGTAAGCTACTGTGTTCACTGTGACATACGTGAAATAATAATGTAAATCCCCAAAACTTGATTCTATTTATCTGGACGTCGTGTTTCAGTGAAGAAGCGTTTCCTCACTTGGATGAGTGATGAACAGAATCAAGTTTTGGGGATTTCCTTACTTGGATGATTGATCATACATCAATGTAATCATTTAGTCTGTCCATTTGTCTGGTGCTACAGTGTCTGAATTGGTTTAAAAGCTTGAAAATCAGCGAAAGTAACATTGAGCTCCTCGGTCCTCAGAATGTGGCAAGAGTTCAGCAGCTCCGAGCAGTCGTATTGTTGGTGGCACAGAGGCTGTAAATGGAGCCTGGCCATGGCAGGTCAGCCTCCAGGTTTCAGGTCGACACAGCTGCGGAGGCTCCATTATCAGCCGATACTGGATCCTGTCTGCTGCACACTGCTTTAAATAGTGAGAGCTTCTATTCTCTGCTTTCTTTCACCCGAACATGTCATTGTGCTGTTGAACAATAGCAAAAACATAATCCCTCTGACGGAAGTAATCCTGATTCAAAGAACTACCTGTGTGTGTGTCATATTTACAGCTTAATGACTTAGGTGTGCCTTCAAAGACAAAGTACACAGGATATATGGGAATTTTACTTTATTGCAATATATTTATTCACATGTTGGTAGAAAGGTTACTGTGTCACTGATAGCAGTGAAGCACGCGACGTGTTTGCAAGTTCAGTAGGTTTGTCTCTTTTTCGACAACAGGTTCACTTACTGTGTTTATCCCACAGAAGACATTAACATTAACTATCTTAGTTGAAGCAGGCCTAAGGTTTGGCCATGCAGCTTTGACCACCATACATTCAATTAGATGATAAAACTGTGTAAGACTGGAACTGCCAAATCGTTATCATACAGTGTCCTCAATTTCTCAGTGAGAGCCGTCTTTACTTTTTATGTCGAGTCTCCAACTATCAGTTGTCGAGTCCTCCACTCAAGTGGAGGATTCATAATGGATCAATAGTGACCTCGTGTTCATCTTTTATCTACAGTGTTTTGACTACTATTTAATAAATCCACCATGCCCATTTCACCTTGTCTTTTCCTTGGCAGTTCCTCTTCTCCTTCATTGTGGAGGGTATACTATGGGGACGTGAACTTGGAAAACATGTTTAACAGCAGAGTTCAGAAAATCATCAAACATAAAGATTTTGACACAAGAACGAATAATTATGACATTGCTCTCCTAAAGCTTGATACACCTCTGACTTTTAACAGTAAGTACTTGGAAGTTAATTTCACATGTTAATTTCAATGATACTGCGATTATGTTATTGCAAATCCAGCACTCTAAGGTGATACATGCTTATGCCTCAGATAAAGTTCGGCCGGTGTGTCTCCCCAATGTTGACCTGAACCTTTCTGCTAATCGTCAAGCATGGATCACAGGATGGGGAGCATTGCAGTCAACAGGTGAGGCAAAACCATAACTGAATATGTCAAACCTTCAGCCTTTGGCAACAGCCTTTACCATAACACCCAAAATGTAATTCAATGGTATTTATTTATACCATTTATTTATTTATATTTATTTATTTACAACATTTATATAGCACCAAATATTTAAAATTGTAAGGAAAATATTCTACAATAATGCAACAATGGAACAATCACATAAGCAAGCACTTTGGTGACAGTGGGAAGGAAAAACTCCCTTTTAACAGGAAGAAACCTCCAGCAGACTCATGCTCAGGGAGGGGCGGGGCCATCTGCTATGACCAGACCAAGCAGAGGACTTAAATACACGGAACGGCAATGAGGAAAGTGGAAACACATGGGGAACACAGCTGATACAAAGTGACGCCACAGGGGAAGCAAAACTAAACACACAAAACATGGACCGTGAGACTAGCAAAGTAAAACAGGAAACACTGAGACATAGACTGACACGTGAGCCTGCGTCAACATGACAGGAGGCAAGGCAGATGAGAGAGGGAGCGAGGGAACACGAGAGAGGGGACGAGAGAGCACAAGTAAGAGAGACATGACGGCTGGGGAGACATGGAATGACACACAGGAAGTGGAGACGAGACATCTCGACAAGGCAACATGGAAACTAAACATAGCAGCCAAAAAGGAAAACCAAAATACTACACACAAAGAAACCACAAAACACCATTAATTCCAATAGGCTGGCTCAAGTGACCCAAGTCACTGGAAATTAGTTGATTCCAGTCCTGGCCAATTGTTCGATGCATCTCTAATTGTAAGTTCTTAATCATGTAACACTAACCAGCATTTTCAAAAAAGGCAGACACTGTTTAGACTATTACAATATGTGAATGAATGTCATTGATTGATTAACATCTGTTTCATTAACTTCAGTTAAATTTATTCAAGC